GTGAAGGAATCATCAATCTCCTCACCTAGTTCCATCAAGGGTTTTGGTGTCCCCTAAAATAAACTTGCACCAAAGGAATTGCCATTTACATTTAGAGCCTTTCCATTTACTTAGGAGTGAATAATCAAACACGAAAATGGAAGGTAATTGTCAAAAAATAACCAAAGAAATATTTACTCTTTAGGCAAATCACAATGAAACACCAACATTTTACTAAATTTCTATGGATTATACTTGTATACTATTATTATGACACCATTTTATTCCTTAAAATAATAAAAATAAAATCTCATATTCAATACTTATCATTTATAAACTTAATGAAATGTTTTTTGTAAATTGTGTTTAGGTCAGGTAAAAATGACAACAAGTGATTATTGATCAAATTTTGTCGTGTTAATTCTTTGGCAATTTTAACAAGATAGAAGAAAATGAGGATACTCAAGTAAATATTGCACAAATTTTTTGTTTGGTCAATTCTTTAACAATTTTAGGAAAGACACTAATAGCCTATATTTAAAGCATCTCAGCAATTTTATGTCAAACATTCCCTCATCAATCTATTGTGACTAACAAACTCTTAAGTTGTTCTTTTCCTGTTTTGCCTTGATCAATTTACAACAACTCTATTTGGAGGTGTTTTTTAGAGCTTATACAAAGTTGATTTATAGCATGTATATGTTGTACATCGGGGGTTTCACACACACATATCTTTACATTGAAAAAATATTATCTACTTTAGGTTCAAGTCTTCATGATTTTGCTTTTGAACATCATTTAAAAGGCTTTTAACTAATGAAGACAGTTGTGTGTATATAAATACATGTCCATCTTCTTATTTGAATGATGTGGGATTTTACTTGTATCCCAACAATACTCTTCTTAAACAAATAACCATGATTTATCCTTTCTTATAATGAAAGTTATTAGTCCACGAATATATTCGATGGTAGCCCATGGAATTCAATAACGCTTTAAGTACTTGCACGACAACTCTATCATTGACTATTGATAGTGGGACATGCCTCTTAACTAGGGATGGCAACGGGACGTGTCTGGTACGAGTTTCATGATACCCGTCCTTGTCCTCGTCGAGTATATAATTTTCATCCCCATCCCCGTCCTCGTCGGGTATCCTATATGCCCGTACTCGTACCCATATTCGTAAAAAATTATTATTATTTTTGTAAAAAAAATACAATATTTTAAAATTATTTTTCTATTTGTTAGTACCAGAAAATGAATTCGGAGACACTCAAAATACAGGGGCGCTCGAAATCTTAATTGATTGGAGAATAGCAAAGGAGGTCTCAGAAATGAAGAGGATCAGAGGATACTCGAAGACACTTTTCGCGAAGCTCTCGAAATCATGGAACAAGAAAGGATGCTACTCAGAAGAAGGGATCGCAGCCTCGCAGTCTCTCAAAGCACAAGCAAAATCAGGAAACATTCAAGTATAGTTTCGTGGATTACTCGAAATCCCAAGAATCTGGACATACACGAGGATACTTCGTAACCTCTCAAAATGAAGAACTTAAAGGAGACACGATCTAAGAGTGGTCGAAGTAGCATGGGATGAGGGTCAAAGGCTGCAGAACGGCTTAGGGAAGTTAATGAGCAGTTCCATGAATTATCCAAAGCCGCGCCCGGGAATAAGCCACGATGTGGAAGTTTAGAACGATTATGTACTTCCGGGGCACGTCAGAAACAATTAACTTTCCTGAATCTTTATCTATAATTGTCTATAAATTAAACGAGCATTGCTCGTAGCAAGGCATCAGAAATCTAATTCCCACAATTCTCACACGCACTCCACAGCCCAGCCCGCGCATAAGGCATACTGTGCATATGAGACAGCTTTGGGTACGATTTCTCGACCACTTTTCTTTTCCTTTTTTAGGAGTAGCGTAGCATAGCGTAGCATAGCGTAGCATAGCATAATCTAGTCTAGTGTAGTGTAGTTACTCTGAACATGTTTCGTTATCCTTAAGAATTGTAATTTTGTTACCATTTAATGAAGGATATGATTTCTGCAGTCAATATACATGTCATCTGTTCGACTCACGTTAATTATTATATGCATGAAATTGATTGTACAATTAGCATAGATCTTCTGATGTGCTGAAACAAGCATACATCTTCTGAAGTGCTAAAACTGGCATAGATCTTCTGACGTGCTCGAAATAGTGAGCATAGATCTTCTGATGTGCCAAACCAGCATAGATCTTCTGAAGTGCTCGAAACGATGAGCATAGATCTTCTGACGTGCTGAAACAACACCCTAAATTAACTCTATTCGCTGCTTGTACGAATTTATTTTCTTTCACTGAAAGTCTTCGATTCTGTCATGTCACGAACACCACAAATTGAAACGTGAACTCGTGCTAGTTCGAACAAAAAGAACCTACGAACGAAATCTCCCACAAACACTATTATATTATAATTATAATTAGGTTGTTTCTTATCTCATATTATAATAAATAATCATACATAATAAAATATTAAAATTCTTTAACATAATTAAATCAGAAGTGGGTATTAAATTGGGAACGGGAACGAGGATAGGTATGAGGATGGGTACGAGGCGGGTAAGTATATATCCGTACCCGATTTAATATATCAGGTTTTACCCGTACCCGTACCCAGTCAAACCGGGTATTTCCCGTCAAAGTCGGGACGGGTTCGAGTATTACCCATGAGTACGAGTATATTTCCCTACTCTTAACCTTCCCTGCTACCAAGAGGACACTCCTCCATACCTGGACCCACCGTAGGAAGACTTTTGATACAAGGGATCTTATATCCAAATCTACCTATTAAATCCATCATACTTGTCGAGTCGCTCGCCCACTTGAACCAACGACTCTAATATCACATGTTGTGTATCGAGGGTTTCACATACACATATCTCTACATTGATAAAATATTATTTGTTTTGAATTTGATCTCTCACGATTTTTTACTTTTGGTTATTTTTCAAATATAAACAATTGTGTGTATATAAATTCATGTATGTCAATGAGACTATGACTTTCACAACAAGAAAGTATGAAAAGAAACAAGTGAGAAAGAGGAGATGAAAATAGGGAAGAGAAAAATAAATAAATAGAAATAGACAAATAATATAATAGAAATGAAAATGTTTGATTTAAAAAAAATGAAAAAAAAATTCACAATTGATTATTATTATTATTTTCAATAGGTCATGCTCAATATTCATACAATGTCGCTACAAGAAATGTTACATATAGTGACATATAAAAAGTGTCACTACAGGTATAATATATGTAGGTATATGTCTATTTCACATATAGTTACACACAATTTTAGTGTTGATTTTGAATAAGATTTAATAACATATTTTATGTGTCACTATAGTCTATACATACACTTTTTAATAATATACTAACATATATTATACTTATTGTGTGAGTAAAATTAGTTTTTAGTGACATGTATAGTGTCACTATAGGGTGTGCGTCACTATTTGACAATTTTGTTGTAGTATGTTTTTTACGTTCAGTTTGTACTTTAAATTGATTAAACAATGTTTTAATCGATTGTTTTTAACAACATCCAACTCGGTCACTGTTCATTTACAGCCATTTCTACAAAGAAATTAACATGTATGAGACCCACTCCTTTCAATTTATTTCTTCTACTATTTCCACTCTACTAAACATATCTCACTGTTATTTCTTACGTCTTTCTTCACTCCCTACTCTGTTTATGCGATTTCATTCATACCAAACGAACACTTATGAAAAATGATTTATAACTCATGCTTTTTAACTAATTTAATCAATTCTATGGTAAAATAATTGTTATATATATATTGTTGGAGTTATTTTATAATATTTGTCTGAGAGAATATTTTATGAGAATTATTTTTATAAGGTTATTACACAAGCATATTCCACAATGATAAGATATTGTCCGTTTTGGGCCTAAGTCCTCACAGTTTTACTTTTGGTCATTATCCAAAAAGTCTCTCTTATATTAGAGTATGTGTGTGTTTTATAAGTTGTTATTTTTTTTTTTTTTATTGATGTGAGACTTGTTTATATATTATATATAGGGAGCGTATCAAGTGAGAGGAAATTTATTATGAGAGATGAGAGGGTTAAAATATAACCATTAGATATGCTATATATATATATATATATAAACCAACTTTACAAGTTAAACAAAGAAGACCAAAAACGTGGCACAGCTGCATGTGCTGAAGGCAGATGGCAAGGCTAAGGTTATGCGATTAATAACAATATAAGCACCACGTGGATATATATATATATATTCTTATACGATAAAAGCTTATGCCTTATTGAATAAGAACTTAATTGACAGTGTGTTTGGTTTCACGTTTTCCGGGCTTAAATCGCGTAAATAACACGAAAATAAGACGCTATAAATTTTTACTTCCGCGTCAAATCGGTTAAAACGTGGATCGAGAATCCAAACATGCACCGAGTCTTTCAGCCAAACACATCTTTAATCGTGCCTACTTTTACTTATACAACTCAAGTGGTCAGAAAAATTTCACACTTTTACTTCTTATACGTAATATGAGGCATATTTTTCACAAGTCACTTTTACTATCCGAAATACAACTAAGCAAACAATATTGTCTGTCTTAAAACTATAAGTAAAAAAGTGTACTTAGTTCAGTTTATCTAAATAAATAAAAACTATATTTACACATTGAGAGATTTTTTTATTTTGAAAAAAGTAATTATTTTCCTTATTAAAGTTTCAAACGGTTATACTCCGAAAATTGATCAACTAATTATAACATTAAATCCCAATCAACAAAAGATCTAATAGAAATTAAATTAATTGTTTTAATTTAACATATAAAGTTTTAAACAAAGAGGGCCCGAACGAGTTTGGGTTCTCCTTGTTCGGATTCTTTGAGAGAAAGCAATAGATGTGGACTTTTTGACAAAATTAAGACCAAACTTTGGTACTGCTTTGACAAAGTTAGATGTCCCTCCAACGAGTTAGAACCTTAGCTTTTAAGCTAATCTAAGGTACCGGGTATGATAATAGGTAGAGTCTTGATAGGATCTTATATTATTTTTTTTCATACTCATATTTAAAAATAATATTCGTATTCAATCTTATATCTATGTGGATAACAATTTTAATTCTCATCCTCGTATCTACTGGATATCTATGTACTCATACATATTCACAACCTGCATTTTACTTATGTATAAAGTAAATAAATTAATAAAGAGATAACATTTCACACAAACAAACATAATATTAATTTATTATATCTTTAACATTACAAAAATCTAATATAATAATTCTTATAAATAAAAACTACAAACAGATTCAATTCTTGTAAATAAACTTAAAAAAATTTTTAACATAATAAAAGTTATAATTAAATTTTCAACATCATGATCATGTGTTAATAATATTCTCCAAAACCTATGAAAAAATTGTACATAAATTAGTTAGATTAAAATTATAGATTAATTTATATACTATAAATCCTAAAACATAAATATGTAGACATTTGATCTCATCATCGGAATCAACTTCATATTTTTGCAAGCGTTAATCTTCCAAGTTTATATATTGTTTTAGTCTAATAATACAAATAGAAACTACGTGACAAGAAAATGAAAGATTAGACAATTTAAATTAATAATTAAAACTAATAATAAAAAATAAAATAAATTTTATTAAGTAAACAAATTTTAATTATTTATTACCTTATTACTTGTGTTTCAATTAACTTTATGTATGTATAAGTGTCTTTAGAGTAATTTCATAGAGTTTAGAATGATGAGGACTCAAAAACCTACATCCTATGCTAAATGCAAATTCTAAAGTTATAGTTGAAATTGAGATTACCGAAACATTCTTAACCATTTTTTGCAAAATTGGATACTCATTCTCATTTGTTTTCCACCATCAAAGAATGTCAAAAGTAACACTCCTAGGCAAAAAAAATTTCTTCCAAGTAGAACTCTATTTTAAACTTTGTTTGTCTTTCAATTATATCATTCACAACTGAGTCATAATCACTTATAAAATTACTAATATATAGATTATTCAAGTTTGACTCATTGATATTTGTTGGTAAAGTTGAACTTTCCACTATTTCTTTGACTTTAGTTTAATACTCTCTTCAATCAATGAGTAACATAGTTTCTTGATATTATTAATTTCAATTGAAGATTAGCTATCATAAAACTTATGAAAAAAATACTCTAATAATTTCAACTTGTATCTTAAATATAAAATAATAACAATATTATTATAGTAATTAATATATTTATATAAATAAATAAATAAATTATTATTAAATAATCATATTATATATATAACTGTAGGACAGATATCATAATACTTGTTTGTTGTTTGAACCCTCCTATATATATATATATATATATATATATATATAATTGAGCACCATAGTACCTATACCCGCACTCACACTCATTAAATTTTACGGATCTATACTCATTCCGTATTCATTTTTATATAAACAGGTATTTACCCAAGAAGGTATTTTTCCAAGTGCTCATAGGAACCAAATTCATCTTATCATCCCTGTAAGCTACCATCTTTAAGGATGTAATTTCCCACCCTTTTTTTTTATCATTTCATTACCCAAAAAAAAAAGGAGAAACTAAGTCAATTAAAGACCCAATGTCAAGCAACAAGGATGTAATATATAAAGTTCGTTTACAAATTATTCAACCACTTATTATTGATTTTCTTTTATCACTAGCGAGAAAAGACAATTTGTGTCTTGCTAATATTATAAGATGTGGAAACTATAAAACGATTGTAATGCAATTTATTTTTTGAAAAAAATCATTTTTATTAAATTAATAAAGTACAATTTTTGAATTGTTCTCCACTAAAATAAGGAATTGTGCAATCTAGGCATGGCAACGGGGCGGGACGGGGTGAATTTTACGTTCTTCGCCCCTGCCCCTGCAAATTTAAACCATCCCCGCTCCCGCCCCAGATACCTGCCGGAGGTAAAATCTGGGTACCCATCCCCACCCTCGACGGGGTTTGAGTTTCCCCGTCCCGCCCCGCTCCTATTTTTTTTTTCTTTTTTTCTTTTAAATAAATATGAACAAATTTTAAAAAAATAAAAGAAAATTAAAATAATATAAATTTTCATATAAATATTTCTAATTTTGATTTATATATATATAAAAATAATTTTTTAATTATATTATTAAGCGGACAAGGATGGGTATGGGGCAGGTATTAACATCTTCGTCCCGCCCCCGATTTTATCAATCGAGAAAAACCCGAACCCGACAAACACGGATTTTCCCCGTCCAAATCGGGGCAAGTTCGAGCGAATACCCACGTGAATGAGTTAGATTGTCAAGCCTAGTGCAATCAATGTAATAAATAAAAGATAAAAATATTTTAAAATTTATATACACAAAAATGATGCATCACCTTTATATATTATTATAGATACAAAATATACATTATGATCATTTTGTATTAATTTATATTTAATCTATACCTATATATATATA